CAAGAGTCCAGGGTCCAATACTCCTTGAGAGATTTCATGGCACTCTGTGCAATCACGGACTTGGAAGAAATGCGCGACCAATATAATATTTCTGAGTGCAGTTTCGACCTTGTTGAGCGAAAAATGGTATAGATTCAAAAAATTGTAACTAAGATCCAGAGTTTCATAAAACTTTAACTGCTTTTGTGGGCATTCTGTGCAATCACGGACTTGGATAGAAAATGTGCAGAAAATGTAATTAGTGTTTCTGATTGAAATTCTAGCGCAACCATCAAGTGAAAACGGTTCAAATTAAAAGACTGTAACGGGAATTCAAAGTGCAAGGCAATCTGTGCGTTTACGGACTTTGAAAAAAAGGCGCGGAAAAATTTAAAATTTCGAAATAGAGTTTTCCAGTGCAGCTAGCGCTTTCGAAGAAAAGGTTTCATTGAAGATGTAAGAAGAAACACGTCTGCTCAATCTCTGAGTAATTTTGTTGCATCCTGTGTATTTGCGAAATCGAGAAAAGAAGCGCGCGTTTGAATCAGGGTTTTTCGGTGCAATCGTAGCGCTGTCAAGCAAAATTCATTTTGCATTGAATGGAGTGTAAGAATGTGGTTCTCAACAAGTAAGTTCTGTAATATAATTTTGAAGCAAACTTTTTATATATTCCCTCTGAAGAATGCTTTCAAAAAACCTATTTTTCTCACAAAAAACTTCAGCAGGTAAATTGTATCCTATGCATACAAAACGACAATTTGTTCTAGCTCTAATTCTAGTGCTGTTATTGAAAACATAGACGACGTGTTGACATGAGAGATACCCGCGTACCTCGGGGCTGAGCGTAATTGAGCCTTATGTCAGCAGTAGAGATTACCAATTCATGAAAACGTCATGACGGAGGAACGTCAAGAGAAAAACAGAGCGACAGCAAGCACGGCTAGATATTGCCAGCTGATTTGAAAGCTTTCTAGAAATTTCCAGTGAAAAACTGGAAAACTCTGAGGGAAGCAGAGACATGCCGAGCAGCAGGATTATCCCTGTTGCCTACAAATGTCATTAGGTAGAAGAGAAACGACGTATTTCTCCTAGGTTTAGGGCCAGAACTGGTTACGCTAATGAGGCTTATTTTCCGTGTTTTTTCGCTGTGCTCTTCGGCCCATTGCTCTATTTCGGAACCGGAAACAGAATAATGAGCTTTTTGAGTGGTGCGTGAGAAAAAATGGATGACGATGGCGATCAACACGCCTACGAATAGGAGGAGGCGAGAGCTCGCTAAAATGAGCTGTGAGAGTTATATTACATGATATTTTTAATCAAAATGCTAAGCCAGATTATATTTTACTCGGGTACAATTCATACATTCTTCTCATAATAACTCAGCACATTATTCGTACACTCAGTGGCTTCAACATGACAGCAAATTTGAATTATGAAGAAAGTAAAGGAGGAAAAAACTCAAATAAGTTGTAAAGAGCGAGAGGGATTATTTTACTTACTCGCTTTTCGCATGGTGCTAACCATCACCACCAAGAGAAGTTGTGAGAAGTTTTCCACATTTTTTGCAATTTTTTTTTCACGTGGCTAGCTAACTTATAATCAAGAATGATTTCAATCACAATAAAAGCAGAGCTACTTTTTCAATATTTAACTCATGAGATTAGTTCGAATACTGTGCACTCTATTCTCGGGGGCGGGAGGAGAGTGAAGGGAACGGGGGAAGGGGGGGGGGGGGTGGGAGAAAGGTGGAAAATGGATACGTAGTGGTTTCTGAAAGCCTTTACAGCCAAAGGTCAATGAGTTTTACTTGGAACACTTTCGACAAATCGGGACTCACCCTTCATAAGCTGAGGTTAATGACTTTTATTAAAGAAGAAGAGTTCCATATTCTTTTCACTCTTAAAGGCAGTGTCTCGGCAGAAATTCGTTTTCCAGTTTTTTACCTTTTCGCAGCCTTCTCGCCATGAGAAATCTCTAACTGGGCTTTTCAGCGCATGAAAATGGCAAAAATAAGCTTTTTCCGTTGCTTTCTAGGTCCACATTCAGTGAAGATACACCAGATGTCTTCCGCGCCCCGCCTCCTTCATTCCGAATCCCGCCCACTTGCATGTATTGTCCATTGAATGTGGACCTGGAAAACTTCGGAAGAAGCTCATTTTCGCCATTTTTATGCGCTGACAAGCGCAGATATGCGATTCTTATGGCGAGAAGGCTCCGCAAAAATGAAAGTCTAACATCGAAATTCTGCCGAGTTAATGCCTTCAAGAAAAAATACCATCACTCATTCATCAAAGAAGTCACGATTCTTTTTCGAAATGAATTAGCTAAAACTATAAAGGGGAAACTTCATGCGGCAATGTGAACTGCGTCAGAGTTGCCCGTGCCAGCGCCGTTCCAGTACCGTGCTAGCGACAAGCTAAGAGCAATTAATATTGCAAAAAAACGCATACCTTCGATTCAACTGGCTTAGCGGCTGGAAGGCGGGGATTCGTGACCTATTTGAGGCTATTCAATGATCAGAAGGCACTGCGACGCGGGCAGCGATCTTAATTAGGTCACAAGTCCCGCCTTCCAGCCGCCAAGCCTGTTGAATCAAAGGTTAGAATCAGCATCAAATGAGCAGTGAATGGAAAAGTACGTTCGAATTTGCAGATTATTTGGAAATGACAAATACTAGTTTGCAAAAGTGTGCAACTCAATCTTTAAAGTTTTTTTGTCCTATCTTACCGCATCATTTTTGCCGCGCGCATCAAAAGTGCCTCGTGTTTCAACTTTTTTTGCAAGTTCTTTTCTCCCGGCACTAATCGCACTGCCCTTACATGCACTCATCTTACATTTCCTGCGCTTTTCTTTCGAAGCAACATGAAAAACGATTTACTGACGAAACTAGTCATTCGTCTTGACGTCTGCTGCGACATACAGAAAGTTTTTGCAGTTTGTACTAGTTGATGAGGTTACCCTTGCGATTTTGAGACTCGCAGACATTTCCTGCAGCGCATTAATGAGACATACAGCCATAGAAAACGAGCAGTTTGATTTCTCAAAAAAGAACATCAAGTTTTCTGTAACTTCGGAGCAGCATACCTTTGATTCAACTGGTTTGCCGGCTGGATGACGGGGCTTCGTGACCTAATTAAAGATAGGTAATGATCAGAGAGCAGCAGGAGAGACGCAGACTGCGTCGCGGGCGCGAGCGGCCTTTATTAAGTCACAAAGCTCCGCCTTCCAGCCGCCAACCTACTTGAATCAAAGGTTATATGTAAGAAAAATACTGTTGACTATTTCTACATTCAAGAATTTTCGCAAAAATTCGAGGAAAAAGCTTTCATAGTATAGAACATCGATTCAAAAACTGTAAAAAGCATCGAACAAAAACGTATAAGCCTTACATTTACAAATACTGAGAACTACATAGATAATACCATAGAAAAATTCGAAAGACAGGGACTGTAAAATGATTAGACGTATGAATTCATGGTATCAGTAGGAGGTGTTCAGTAAAAGAGGCACTGAGCCGTTTCGTTAAAAGAAGTAACTAAGAAAATCCAGGTCCCTGGTTATTTTATGAGAAGTGATTAGATCAATAATGCTTGAAAAGAGGGCGATACGCTTCGTTCGTGGGCGACTCCCTAGTTTGATACACCATCCCAGAACGGACCAATCACCGTCTTTGGATACAATACGGGCGAGAGTTCAATGTTGAATAAGTTGGGTATGAATGCATCAAAATCGTTATTTTCTCTTCTACAACGCAGCCTCTGCATATCTCAGGTGGAAAAGATGGATTACAGTGTATTAATCTTGGTGAAACCGTTTGGAACCCTGTCTAGTTTCAAAATGATTTTGAAGAGATCGAAGTTTGATTTGAAAGCAGCCAGTGATAGTGGATTCGATGATTTTTTTTTCGCGATGAAACCGTCGTATGTTCAGAATTCAACGATATCAAATTTTCACATTCTTATTTGTATTTTCAGGGTGACAACAGACCGAACTAGATGAAACATCGATAAAAATAAGAAAAATCTACTCTAGCAAACGTTATGGGTGCCGATTTTCCGACGCGGCGATGGAGAAAGCCTTTTAAAAAAAGTAATCTTAGATCCTTGCATCACTGATTTCCCAATAATCAACGTACGAGCTCGTGAAAAACATTTCGAATTAAATTACAGGGCTACAACGGTTTAGTAGAGATCAATACTTCTCAACGTCGATTGCAACCTAGTTGGGAAAGACCATTCATTTCAGTTCAAACCATTGTAAGGTAGGTAAACGATAGCTGAGAGTAAAGTCAAGAGGAAGGAAGGAAGAAAGTTGTAGCGCTCGTGATTTATGAGCATTTTCAAGCCCGCTATGTTGGTAAATTATGCATGACCCTTAGGCATAATAACACCATGAAAAAAATACCGCAGTAAGTACGGTCTAATCACCTATAGGTATGAATTTTCTATGATGAAATTAGGAGTGAAGTGGGGAATGAGTCCATGCTTACAATTAGAGTGTGAAAGAATTATGAGTTTATGACTATAGAATGCTCACACAACAACAATGGGGCAACCGGTTCCACAACCTTTGAAGTTGAACAAAAGCGAGACATTCAAGATGATCAGCATAATTGCCAAGGAGAAATACTTTTTCACTGATTTAGGTACATAGAACGGTTCCTTGTGCTGCAAAATGTGGATGCTCGCTCCAATGAGAAGAGAATAATTCCTGCATTCGTAAAATGCTGAGCATTGAGTTCGAAAAAATCGAAAATTGTTGCTATGAAAGTCTTTTTGTTGAAGTCTTGTTCCTTCTCGAACAAACAAGATTGCAATTAGAAGTGAACTATATAAAAAATCAAATAGAGCCTGAAAAATCAAATTAACCATTTTATGACAATATTATTTAGCAATACTAATGATAAAATAATAAATATTACGCTGATATTGTGCTAACTTACTAATATAATGCTTTACCGGAAATTATCTTTCGCCTGCTTCATTTGTAGTGAAAATGATGGAAATAGAAGTTAAACATACTTTACTTTGCATTGACTCCATACTTGCAAGGATATTTAGTACCGAATGAAACATCGATTTTGCAGGATATTTCCTGAAAAACATTGCAACAAATTTTGGTAGGTTTGGTTAGCTCTATTTTGACGATGTTGAAACTAACAAATTTAAAATCAATTTTAGATTGATCTCTCTTTCTTAATCATTTTAACAATCTCTCTCTAATGTAAGAACCAGAAACGATGCGTTCTACAAAGCGTCTCAAACAAGATTTTTTACAACAGTTTTCTCAAAATTCGAAGCTCCTGAAACATATTGATTTTCGCTTCTGATTTTATAAAAAATAATCTAGATTCATTGTGGGCCGTCCATTGGCAATAAATTTGTAAAAGTAACGGTATGTCAATGGTCACTCAAAATTACCAATCAAAATTTTCCTTTTTCTGGAAAAAGAAGTGAGAGCTATCTAGCGCAAACATGAAGGAGCCATTTCGCCTTTTTTATAATCTCTTCTTGTGGGCGGAAACCCTGAGGGTAGAATCAAAAAAAGCAGGTGAAAATTCGGAAATTCAAAAAAGTGTCCAGAAGTTTCGATGTCTAGTCCACCAATCAAATCTCAAAGTTTTGTTTGACTCGCCTTTGCAGAGCGCAATTTTTTCATATTTCTTCTAATCGCAGGATTTGATTAATGGGAATTATTCAAATTATAAGACACGACAAAATTTATGTATGCTAAGTCCAAGTATTCGTTTTCTGCAAGAATTTTAGTGAAAAAAAATACGCGAGTTTCGGATTGAATGTAATTGGTAGCACAGCGAGCATGTATTGTTAAAACTCCGTTAACTCAGTTTCTTTATTCTTAGATCAGATTTTGTGAAAATGAGAACCATAAGACAGTGCTGTAGGAAGTTTTTTTCCAAAGGAAAGGGGAGAAAACAGGTGCGAAAATATTTCTCAAATAAAAAACACTTGTAAAGTTTTTTGGGCCCTGTTTTTGTCAAATTATTTAGAGCCTTGTGGTTCCAGAAAGATTTTTGCTAAAAAGTTGCTTTTTTTTCAAAACATTCCAGAAACCACAACTGCCATAAGGTTATAGTCAAGCATGATTAGAAACAAAATAGACTAAGTTATAATTGAGCAAATCACAAATCATGGTGCCACCTACTTTTATCAAATTTGATACGTCATCCGTCACAAGAGATTTAGTGGATACAGCTTAATTATGTGGTTCAAAGTCACTGAAGTGCATACAGACCCTCGTCAAAGCAAATACAGTCGCCATTTCTGTCATGACAGCTGCTCAATACCAATAATGATGTGGGATCATAAGTTCCGCCTACACAATTATTTCGTCTCCGGATTTCGAGGGTTGAGAAATGAAAGGAAAATAAGGCCTCCGAAGAAAGTTGGAAGCGATATGCTCGAACTGACGCAATAAAATGCCGCTAATAACATCAGATTAGAATTGGGATGTAAAAGGACGTAATGAAATTGCAAGGGTTCCACTGAAAGCCGGTTTTTGAAGAAAGAAAGCCATTTGAACTCGACGAGACTGCAATCTTTTGGAACTGAAAATAAAATCTGTCATAAAAATGATTTATGGGTCTCATAAAGATTTATGAATATGTATCAGGATCTTTGCAGGAATAATTGAAAATTCTTGCGGTAGTACATACTCCAGAAGATTTTCTGCATAAAAAGATTTTAGTTTGAGTTTTTTCTCTGAATATTTTAGCCACATTTTCTGGAGTAAAAATCCAAATTGTCCATCGGGACAGACAAAATTAAATGTTTGAAAAGGGTTAGATTTGCGCATTCTGACGTCTACAAAATAGGTTTGAGTTTTTTCGTAACACATTTCCATCCAAAAAATTGCAAATTGCCAATAAGACACAAGAGATGTCCGCAAGTTTGCGTCGATACTTTAAAGGATCCAAAATTTGCATGAAAGCGCATTTTTCTAGACGTGAAACACATTTCAACTCAGGATATTGAATGGCAGCACAAGCACAATCAACGTATTCGATTTCAAAAGGAAGTGGAGGGCAAACAAAGGCTGAAAAGCACTTTTCGAATAGGAAATGCAAACCCAAGCAGCTTCTCAGAAGTGTTGGTGCGCTTTTTCGAAATAGTAAACAAATGGAAATTGCTCTACTGTGTATAAAGTCAAAAAAATCAGGAACTATTTGGGAAAGTCAGGCGTGCAATTTACTAGTCTAAACTTCGAAAGTCTAGAATATTGATGGACAACAAGTCTGGTTCTTCACAGCACATGTACAATCAACCGAAATGAGAGAAGAAAAGTTTGGTCATTGATCGCATTTGAGGCAAAGACCGAGACTCGTAAATTTACCAAACGTCCAAAATTCGTCTTTTGCTCGTAATTTGTAAAATAATCATTCTCAGAAATTCGCCAAAAAGGTAATAGAAAAGTTACTTTGATTTTGATAGTGCTTCTCGGCCTCGTGAGTGAGAACGTACTTCTGTCACTTGGAGATTTTAGGTCTGAAATATCCTTACACTGAGAAATTTCTTAAAATTTGAGATCGTTAGAAAGAGCAAGAAAAGCAGTTTCTAAAGCTACTAACACTATCAAATTAGAGATGAAATTCTCTTGGAACAGCTGTTTAAAACACCAGGCAAGAAAAATCGGACAGAACTCATGCAGCAGCCTAGTAAAGTAATCATTTCCAGAAATTCGCCATAAAGGTAATAAAAAAGCGTCATCCGCTTGATGGTGTTTGCTGGTCTCGTGAAACTTGACATACAAATTGAAAACATCGGTGACTTTAAAGAGGATTAAATTACACACTGTAAAGCTCTGCAATTTGAACGCTCTTCAAAGACTTCCAAACCGGTTATCAAAGATGTCGCTAATCCTGCATCGCCGTCTTGCTCTCATTAGTTGCTTTTCTGCAAGATTTGGCATGAACTAAACTCGAAGAAAACCGAAAAAAGGACTAAGCGACCTAATATTCAATTATGCATATCAGAAATTGCATAGGGGTGAAAATAAGTTTGAAATACGAACTCGCAAAAACTGAGAAACTTTCGCTATTGAGCAAAGCGGTGGGGCTTTAGGAAATCAAAGTAAGCCTATAACAAGTTTTTCTCGAAAATAATCTGGAGTTAACAAACACTTTGACTTGTAATGGTAATTCAAATTTCTCTCGAAATTGTTTGCAGGCACAGAAAAGCCGTAAACATTTTCGAAAAAAGATAAAAACTTGACACGATAGCAAAGAGAAAGTAGGGGATAGAAAAAATGTCGACTTTTGGTATTAGTCGTGATCACTTATCGATTGCTGGAGTCATATTAGAGGCTGCAAAATATTAGGTTGTCCCGAAAGTTTTGTCCGATTTTCTCATCGCTCACTAAAACTCGCATAACACCAATTCACGGATGGCTTAGATACCATTGGATTCAGATTTTCATCGTCTTTATTGCTATATTTGGTCTCTGACCTATCCTGTCTTTGCAATGTTATCGCCATGGCTTTTTGAGCAGCTCAACAGTAACGCCAAACCTTTCCTGAATTTTAGAAAAATTTTGTCATGATGTTTCCAAAGAGCGCTGGTAACTTTGTGTAGAGCAAACCTTTGGCTATAATGCTTCTATTTTAGATTACATAGGCCACGTTTACCAAGTCCGTTATAATTATTTATTTCATAAAAACTGCGCCTTTTCGATTATGTTTACTACGTGAAAGTGCCGAAAATTCCAAAAAACTGCTTTTTCAAAGCAAATCAAACTTGGTCATGTTGCATAAATAATGTTTAGTAATGATCACATTTCAATTCACAGAAATTTCAAAAGCTTTCGTGTATTTGCTGCAGTCGCGTGTTCCACGATTGGCCGAAAATCGAGACCTCCGAAAAAAATAATTTTTTAAGGCTAAAAACAGCAGACTAGGAAAATATAAAAACACAACCTTGTGGCCCGAGAATTGCTCTGTCTGATCCATACTTAACCTTTCCCGGAACTTTGGAATGTAATTTTCAAAAATTAGCCTAACTTTGAACAGATAAAATTGACGGGTGGAGAATTTTGGCAATTATAAAAAAATTATACAAGATTATGGATCGAAAATGTACCCTCAAGAAAGAGAATTAAAAGCTGCATCGTATGCATGTTGAAACTCATTCAGGTCTATATTGTGCGTGGTTTTATAGTAGTTTGAAAAAACGGACAAAACTTTCGGGACAACCTAATATAAACAAATGGTTATAAATATGTAAGCATTGATACGCAATGATTTTCATTTTTTTTCTGCTGCTTGCGAAAAAATCCGGAGAGTATGCCAGGTATGGTGCTGGGATTCCACCGTCATTATTTGACGGTGGAATATTTCCTATTATTCATTAATAGTACCTATAATCGAGTTAATGATAATCATTGTGCGTATTGCACACTATGTGCGCTACTTGACGACTTTTGTCCAGCACCCGCCTATTTTCAGTGTTTTCCTTGTATCTTGTCTCCTTACTGGATTACGATACGTACTAGTTAGTTACATATTTATCGATTCATACGCTAGCAAAGGTTCTATTGAGGAATTACTGCCGAAGGTGTCGTCGGTTACCGCTCCGCGCATAGTGTGCATACTCACACATTGAATTATGAATGATTCTTGTATACTTTGGAGATATGGCATTCTGCTGCATGATGTATGGAAAACAAGTATATTTGCGTATTACACCTTTATTGACATGGTGAAACGGGAACCCATTAGGAAATTATTTCGCAAACAAATTTGTACAATTTCAAGAATTTGAAGAAGTTCAAATTTCTGATTTTCTGGGATTATAAGAGTAATATCAATACCGATATTCGTACATGGATAGACTTTAGTTTCGAAAACTGAAACAAAAACCTATCTAATTAACATCAGTGATTTAATCTGTAACATAAAAGTAAAAAAATTGAAAAATAAACAAAAATAAAAAATAAATAAATATAAAAAAGTTATAAAATATAAAAAATAACAAAAAAAATAACATAAACAGACATCTATTAATAATTATTATCAATAATTTAACCTATAATAATTTTATCAAAAAGCCTATCTCGAGATAAAAG